CTGCGCGGTCCCCGCAGCGCCCCCTCCCCCCGCCCCGCGCGGTGCGGCCGCGGAGCCCAGGACCCGGTCCGGAGCAGGGCGTGGGGCGGCACGTCCCCTAGAATCGGAGCAGCCTCGGGACCCCCGTTTCGATTTCATTGGCCCGTGAATGCCGGACCCCACCGGGGCACCGCGTGTCCGTCAGCGCCGCCGCCTCCCTTTGCAGAGGTCCCCGCACCCCAGGGCTCCCTAGAAGGCTGCAGTTTCGGGCCCTCCCACCGCGTACGTTCCCGGGGCAGTTCGCTTTCCCCCCTCGCCCGCCGGGCCGGGGGTGTGGGCCGGCCCGAGGTTAGGAAGGAGGGCCTGGGCCGGTGCCCTCCTGGGCGGCGGGAGAATTGAGCGGTTGACAGCGGCAGCCTGGGGGGACCCGGCAGGCAGAGCGAGACAGAAGCCACCTCCTTCAACCCCTAGTTGTGAGTTTGAGCAGAACTCTGGCGCAGTGAAGGGCCTGGTCCTGGGAGATTTTAAAGAGGAAGCTGTGTTTAAATACTCAAGAAGCCCCCCAACCCCCAACACATGTGTCTCAAGGTTGTGGGTGGTGGCCACCCCTGGTCTTTCACATTCCCTGGCTCACTGGTTTCAGGCTGGGTGAGCACCTCTCCTCGCCCAGGACATATTCCCCATGTCCTTGATAGTGTAGCCGTTTCCTTGGCCAGGCAGAGTCATTTGCAAGGAATGTGGCCTCAGAATGGAGCCCTGTGTTTTCAGCGACTGGACTTTAGGGACATGGGGTGATGAGTTCTGCTGTCCTTATGGGCACTAAGGGAGCAGAGATTTTTGAACTCTGGGTTGTCCTGGAAAACCCAGGATGGGTGACTGTGTGTAGGGGCGGTCCTAGCTCCTGTCCAACCTCCCTGACCTTCTGCCCACTCTCCCAGGGAGACTAAGCCCTCCCCAACAGTAGTCTCTGGGCAGTTGTCAAGTCTGTCCCTCAGTCATTGTAATATCCCTGGCCTGGGGGGAGGGGGGCTGCAGCTCTACCTCCATGGCCTGAACCCAGAGAGGCAGTGCCCCTCTCCTGAAGCCGGCCCCTCTGCATTCACCCTTCCCTGAGGAAAAATAAAATGTTTGAGTTCTTTGTATATGCTGGTATTGTTCTTAACCCTTTATAATGCATTGTCTAATCTTTATACCGACTCTATGGTGGAGTTCTCCCCATTATCAGATGAAGATAATGAGGCACAGAGAGGCAAAGTAATTTTCCCAAGGTCACACATCTAGTGAGTGGCAGAGCCAGGTTCTGGATCAGCTTTTTGGTTACAGCCACTTGAACACAATGCCCTCACCCCATGAATCTTAGGTGGGTAGGAGCCCTAGCCTTGGGCTTATTTGAGTCCTTGATACTTTTGACCTTCACACTCCCCTCTGCTAAATTCAGCTGCTTTTTCCTCTTCATGATCTTGCACACACCCTTCCTCTTTCTTCCTGATATCTTCCTGGCTGCCTCCCTGACTTCCCTTCCGGAAAGCCACGGAAACATTGTATCTTCCTGTCCCTGCCCCTCAGACTTAGCTGATCTCCTTAAAAGTCTTTTCCCTCAACCGGGGAATTGACCTTCAATGCCCTCCCTGTTCAGCATGCAGATGGTGCATGTCTCTCTCCCTCCTTGCCCGTCAGGCAGCTGGCCATCCAGGTTGCTCGTGTGCCCAGCCCTGTGCCAGGCAGTCTGGAGAAGAGTATGTCTGGCTGCTCCCCCTGGTGCCTTCACCCCACACTGGCCAATCTCCAGCTCCTCAGTGGAGCCGGCCCACGTACTTGGATTAGCCTCCACTCCTGTCCTTTGGCCCACAGCCCTGCCCCCAACCCAGTGACACTGCACCTAGGAGACTCCTCTAAGAAGGTAGGGACTAGTCCCTCCCTAGTCAGGAGCCTGGCTTTCTTTCAGGGCTCAGCTCTGAACATTGGTCACCATATCTTCGGGACACCTGTCCCTGCACTCTTACTTCTTTTGTCTCTCAATGCTTCAACCATTTCCGCCCCTCTGTCCACCCAGCCTGTTCCAATGGCTCCTAAGTCCCACATCCTCTGGAATCAGCCTCTCCCTCCCACCCTAGCCAAACTTCCCCCACGAGAAGGAAGTGGTGGCTTCTCGTAGCCCCTGCTCACCCCTTGGTTTGCCTTCTACCTTGCTCCTTCCTTCCTTCTAGAGCCCCCAAGGGCATCTTTCCAGTTTGACCTCTCTGTCGCATGGTTCACCGGGAAGTAACCATCCTCTCCTTCCCACCCACTGGCCACCTCAGAACTGTGCACCTGTCTGGTGCCCCTCCCACCTTCCTCCTCCAGCTTTCCTTCCCACCGGGAGTGAGCGCCATCCTCCCTGCTTGCCTCTTGTCTTGCATGGCCTTTGGCGACCACATGCCCCCGTGTGGCATAGTGGCTTTCCAGCTCTGAGTCTCTGTGTCCAGCCCTGCTCTCTTCTGAGCCTTTGCTTGCGTTTATTTCAGGGCATTCAACCAAAAAACCATCGCTGGATATTTGATGTGGGTGTAGCTGTAGCTCCAGGCTGAGTGCTGTGGGGCTGCAAAGATGAGCATGCTGTGAGCTCTGCCTTGGGGAGCCATAGAGGGTCTGGGGAGATGGGCACCGTTCAAAACAGATATCTTGACTGCCTGGTAGAAAGCAGTGCAGTGATAGACAGGAAAAGTGGTCTTCAATCCAGGCAGAACCATTAGGAAGTCCTTGGGTGCCTCCAACTCCATTTTAAAGCCAAAAGCAAACTCCACGTTGTCTCTCGGAGCTCACTTGGCTTCTTCTGTAAATGGCATCCCTCTTTGTCCAAGCCTGGGACTACAGCTCGGTCACCTTAAATGCCCTCAAGTCTGCTTTGCACACAGTAGGTTCTCAATAAAAATGTGTGCAGTGAATTCGGAAAGTCTGTTCTACTTGTTTGCTCGGTTTATAAGGGACCTATGGAGTTTTCCATCCAGACCAGGGATTCCCCCCACCCCACCCCCCATTCTCCCACAGCTCCTGGGGCCCTGCCTCCTGTTGTGACTGTGAAGGTTTGTTGAAGTGTTTACCTCCCTCCCCACAGGGAACTTTGAGGCCTTGTTTCTCCTGATCAAAGAGGACTCCTGGCAGGTGCTTGGCACACAGCAGGCATCCAATAAATAATTATTAAATGAAGAATGAATATATCTTTGTATCTCAGCTGCTAGCCAGTTGCCTGCCACGTTGTGGGCATGGAGCATAAGGCTAGTCCGAATACACGAAGGGGCTGACTTTAAGAGAGTTTGACAAGTTTATAAACTTAACTTGTCACGGGCGACCAGCAGGGTCCCTTCTGATTAGATTTACAGAGATGCCATTGACTCGGCTTCCTCCACGTGGGGCTGCCGGGCTCCGAGTGGAGGGGCTGGGGTGTGGGATCTCCACATTGTCCTGCAGACACACCCGCCGGGCTCCCTGCCCCCTCTGAGCCTCCCTACCCCGCATGGGCCCTGGGGGACAGGGGGGCTGGCGCAGACCCCCTAGACCCGGGTCGGGGCCGGCGGTGGAGTTCAGCTCGTGTCCCCTCGCTCTCTCCGCAGGCTGCAGGGCGCCCGGAGGAGGCTGCAGAGCCCCGGGCCATGGTCCAGTCCCGCCGGACCTGGAACCTGGGAGCCACGCCCTCGCTGCGCGGCCTGTGGCGAGTGGGCCGGGCCCCGGAGCCCGAGCGGGGGATGGCTCGCCCCGCCCCA